GACATCTACGACATGTTGGACTCGCCGGAGAGGAAAGAAGGAAAAGAAAATATTGAAAAAAGAAGATAGTATTTAGGAGCTTTGGTACCGACAATGCGAGTGCCAACTAGGGTTCTAGTGACGGGTCGATCAGAAAAATGGATTGAAAGTGCTTGGCTATGAAACCATGTAAATATTATAAGTTGTTTAATAGATATAAAATATTAAACCTCATATAAAAATAGATATATAAAGGGTCTGGCATGACCTAAACCCTAAGAACCTTAGGCCTAACCCTAAATACAAACATACTAACATGGAACACACCCCATATATCATATCATCATAATCTAATACATCGAAAGGAGGCAAGCCATTAAAAACCAGAAAACGCAGTTGAGACAGTTGGCCAAACAAGGAGTATGACAACATACCCCATATATAACCAAAGGGTAATGACTCTGAGTCCGAGACACACTCTTGCAATAATATCTAATAGTATATCTCGGAAGTTAGACCGAAGGAGTTAGTAGCGTATCACCATAATAGGCCCGAGAGCCGAGCAATGATCCAACCAAGCTATACAAAATATTGGGCCAATCAGCAAAGTTTCAGGAGAAAGTAGTAGTGTCGCAACACAGTCGAGCCCAAAACATTCTGTTTAATTCCAACATAAGTTCGTAGGCCAAGTATAATCACCAGCAAAAAACATACGACATTAGGGGTGTTCGTTTCGATGGATCGGTTCGATCCGATCCAATTAAGTAAATCAAAATTGATTTCGGTTTTGAAAATATGGATCCGAATTGTCAAAACTAAATTCAAATCCGATCCGATCCAATCCAATTATAATTCGGTTGGATCGGTTTTTATAATTCGGTTTTCAAAAGGCATAACATTTTAAAACGATATATAATTATAATATTATACAATTTTTATAGAAGAAGCAAAAACTAATTATTTAGTTGTAATTTATAATTTATAAACAACTACTAAAAATGTATATTATAATTTAATATTTATTAGATAAAATGCTTTTGAGAGAAAATCATATTATTTTTTTAGTTTTTTTTTTATTAGGTGAAACTTTTTGAATTTTTTCAGAAAAAATAATTTATAAAATTAATAAAAAATTATGAAAATATTAAAAATAAATAAATAATAAATTGTTATTCGATTCTTATTTTATAAACCAAAATCAATCCAAAATCCAAAATAATAATTCGGTTTTTGCGAAATCCAATCCAAAAATCCGAACTATTCGAACCATATAGTTCAATCCAAATTGTACAAAAGGATAATTCGATTTTATCCAAATAATAAACAGCTCCAGACATACCACAAAAATCTTACGATTAGATAGAAAAATAATTATTTATTCTTTCAACCCATCCTATTATTGTAAAATCTTACGATTAGTTAGAAAAATAATTATTTATTCTTTCAACCCATCCTATTTTTGTGATTACTCGTTATACAATTATAGCATATAGTACAGAGCCGTGACAAATACTTTTGGTTATTTGGGATCCAACGTTGCGTGGCGATACCAAAACCAAACGGCCCAATTTCATACTCAACTCTGATTGCCATATTTGGTGTTTACAATCTCGAAACATTACACACGAGATTCAAGAACACATACATAGAGAAAGAATCACTGACAGGTTTCTGTTGTTTCATCATAAAGGAAAGTATCTTGATCGGAGAAAACGACAGTGGGTCTGTATTCAATTGCAATGATGGTGAAATTTGTGAAACAACTTTCACATTCATCATAAATTTCAATGCAATCAAATGGATGATTTTAAACCCATTAAGAACATCGATCATCTCCAGTATTGTTTGTCGACTAGTTGCTTTGGGTTGAAATCGACGCCGACAGTTTTAATCCGTCGTCTCAAACGACCATGATCAGTTCTTCCCTTAAACCCCACTTTGGATCTCAGTTGCAGGTCCATTACCATTCCACGAACATCATTATTTCTCTCTACTTTTGGCTCGCATCATGGATCCTTCCACCTCTCGTCCTGCTGTAGTCATCGACAATGGCACCGGGTATTTAACTCACTCACATCTCTGCAACGCGCCCCACATGTTTGTTTAAATTCCCCAATAAGATTCATATATATATTCACCCAAGACTTATCAACCAAGTGATTGTAGCACGTTTTGCCCCACCCTTTCAACAATGTTTACTAAACTAGTACTCTTTTCACAGTTTGCAGACCACCTGTTCGATAAAATTACTCAAGAAAATCCGACCTAACAATTGAACTTATAATGGTATTACAGGTATACGAAAATGGGATTTGCTGGTAATGTGGAGCCTTTCTTTAACGTTCCAACAGTAGTTGCTCTTAACGACTCATTTGTAAGCCAACCTTCCCGAAGCTCATTCAAAGGAAGCAGCAGCTGGCTAACTCAACACAGTGCAGGAGTGATGGCTGATCTTGATTTTCACATAGGAGAAGAAGCCATGTCAAAGTCAAGATCTAGTGGCATCTACAATCTAACTCACCCAATCAAACATGGACAGGTGGAAAATTGGGATGCAATGGAGCGATTTTGGCAACAATGTATATACAATTACTTGCGTTGTGATCCAGAGGATCATTACTTTTTGTTGACTGAAAGCCCATTGACTGCACCTGAGACTCGAGAATACACTGGTGAGATTATGTTTGAGACATTCAATGTTCCAGGGCTTTATATAGCAGTTCAGCCTGTTCTTGCTCTTGCTGCTGGATACACCACAAAGAAGGTTAGTTTCTTGGATCTTTAATCTTGATTCTTGAGTTTATTTGGTAATTTGTAATGTTTAAATAATTATATGGTTTTGCTTAGTGTGAGATGACAGGTGTTGTGGTGGATGTTGGAGATGGAGCTACACATGTTGTTCCTGTTGCAGAAGGTTATGTTATTGGGAGCAGTATTAAGTCGATACCTATTTCAGGAAAAGATGTTACTTACTTCATCCAACAACTCATGAGGGTATGTTGATGTTCATTTTCACTTAATCATTCTTGCAAAATCAAGATTATGAGAAAAAAATGTTGAAAGATTCCATGATAATTATCTTATTTAGGAAAGAGGAGAGCACATTCCACCTGAAGATTCACTTGAAGTAGCAAGGAAAGTTAAAGAAACATTTTGCTACACGTGTTCAGACATTGTCAAGGTAGTCATATGCTTTGTGTAATATGTGTAAATGAATGATTATATCTTTATATTATTATTTTCTTTAAAAAATGTTCAGGAGTTTAATAAGCATGACAAAGAGCCAGCAAAATACATTAAACAATGGAAAGGCATTAAACCAAAGACAGGGGCACCATACTCATGTGATGTTGGCTATGAACGATTCCTTGGTCCTGAGGTCTGTCTTTCGTTAATTTATTTTGAAGGGGTAGAAAAGTAATTTGTCAAGATGTATGTAATATTATAATTTATAATTTATAAAATAATCCTTGTGTAGGTCTTCTTCAATCCAGAGATATACAATAGAGGCTTTACAACTCCTTTACCTGTTGTAATAGACAAGTGTATTCAATCTGCACCAATTGACACAAGACGCGCCCTCTATAAGGTACATTTGTATAATTGTAAAAGGGCAAAACCGTAAAAATACTTGTGACCCATGGTTGGATTTATTTCAGAATATTGTATTGTCTGGAGGATCAACCATGTTTAAAGATTTCCACAGAAGGTTACAAAGGGAGGTAAAGAAGATTGTGGGTGCACGTGTTCATGCATCAGAAGCAAAATTTAGTAATGAAGTGAAAGTAAGCATATAATTTTCTTTGCAATAAAATATATGTTATTTAATTTTTAGTGACAAAAAAAAAAAAAAAAAAAAACTGCTGTTAATTTTGGTTCCAGGCACAACCGGTTGAAGTTAATGTAGTGAGCCATCCTATCCAGAAACATGCGGTATGGTTTGGAGGCTCTGTACTTGCATCAACACAGGAATTTTTCATGGTATTTTTTTTTAATTTATTATTTTAATCAGCAGTTGAAATACTAATTTATGTGGGTATCTATATGTATGTTGATGTTAGTTAATTACTGAAATGTGTAACGTTGGATTTTGATTTATGTGTGGATTAGGCTTGTCATACAAAAGCAGAATATGAAGAATATGGGGCAAGCATATGCAGAACAAATCCTGTTTTCAAGGGAATGTATTGATAGATACAAGAATCTGTTATGATATAGTGGTTGTGTATATTTCTAGAGGCTTGAATTCATGTATGAAAAAAGTGAATTTTGGATTTTCTTTTGTATTTTTTTGGTGGGGGTTTAGGAAGCAATGGTTTTTCTGATAGGGATTCTTGTGAAATATTTGTATTAGATTGCAGGCTTATAAGGTGACAGATTTTGAAAACTTTAATACAAATTGTAATCAAATGTTATTGAGCAAACAAAGTTAAAATGGTCTAAAATTCGTCTAAAATAGTACTAGAATGATTTTTTCTTCAATTTTTCGAAATTGTTTTATTAAAAACCATGTTTTTGTTATTATTACTATTATAAATACTATTTATCGTAACTATTTAAAACATTAGCTATTTATGGCATTTTAGAAATGAGCAAATAAAAAAAAAATGTTTATAGGACCATTTGACCATACTAGTTAAGATCCTTTATCTAAAGTCTTATTTATTTTGTTATCGAATTTAGAATCAAATGAAAAAATAAATAAATAATAGAATCACAAATTAAACCAATCCGAATTGGTTTCCATTTAGCGGAAAATGCGAATAAGAGTTGTTATTGTGTTAGTTTAATAAGATTTTAATGAAAATATCAACTAATTGAATTGACTAGACTTCTGGTCTTAAAAAAAAGCTAAATTGTCATTTTTACAAGTAATTTGTGTTTTTTTTTTTTTAATAAATTTTAGTTTAAATTATTGGTAAATTAAGATGAAATAATAATAATAATTTAATAAAGATTTTGAAAAAAAAAACAGAATAAGAATACAATTTTAATCGACCCGAATTGAAAACCGGGTCAAACCCGGAAAAAACAAGCGGGAGTAGAGAATCAGTGAGAGGTGTTTGTCGCAACTCTCAAAACCCTTGGGCCAGGGTTTTTAGGGTATAACCACTCATTTGAACTCGCAGCTTCGGTAACCACCTTCTCAACGTTGTCGTGTGTGTGGCTTTCGATCAAACCATTTTTGATTTATATGTCGATCTAAGAGCTTAAGCAAGTGCAAGATCAACAAAAATGGCGTTGGCGTTCGACGAATATGGGCGGCCCTTCATAATCTTAAGGGAACAAGAAAGTAAGAGCAGGCTAAGAGGTTTAGATGCTCAGAAAGCCAACATTTCCGCCGGCACCGCCGTTGCTCGCATCCTCCGGACTTCTCTTGGTCCTAAAGGCATGGACAAGATGCTCCAGAGCCCCGACGGCGACATCACCATCAGTAAATATTCACATCTCTCCCTCTCTCACTCTCTCTATATGTGTTTCATGTTGCCGGTTTGATCCATTCTTAGTTTTCGCTACAATCTCCAACTCTGCGTCGAATATTGCCTTTTTTTTACGTATAATAGTATGAATCGATGCGTGATTTACTTATTCAATGTAATGTTGAATGTATGTTCTGTAGGTAGAGAATTTGTTATAGGAACTATAGGTTATAATTGAACACATTTTTGTTATAATGCAGTTTGAGATCTTATTTAAAAGCAATTTGAAAGACCAGATCATTATTTGCGGATTTAACTAAACTTGATCTGTATAAGGTTACTTAGATGGGGTTTATTCTATTGAACAGCAGATCATACGACCACAAAGAACTAGTAACTTGTTTCTGCGATCTACAGATTGGCTTTGTATGCCAAACATGTACTTTCACACTTTGATATGTTTATTTTTTTAATCTCTCAGAGAAAATACTGATTGCATCAAGCACAAATACAAGTACCCATGTAAAATATAGTAAAGGCAGCATTCAGTCTGCACTAAATCGTTTTTTTTCTTCTATAGAGCATACCACTTATGGATTGTGGTATCTTCTCCTTTTACATAGTATGTTGAAAGCTCCTTTAAAGCTTATATGAAAAGCTTAACTATTTTCCCCAATGGTGAGAGCTATCTCAAGGATTTGACTCTGATTTGATCATGGGTATGACTTGAAGGATGTGATAAGCGATTAAAATTGGTTGAAGTCATTTGCTGCTATTTGAATTCCCTAAATTTATTCAGCATAACTCATTGCTATCAATAGTTAACTTTATTTTTTTTTTTCCAGCAAATGATGGTGCAACAATCTTGGAGCAAATGGATGTTGACAATCAAATTGGTAAACTGATGGTTGAACTCTCAAGGAGTCAAGACTATGAGATAGGTGATGGAACAACAGGAGTTGTTGTTATGGCTGGAGCACTTCTAGAACAAGCTGAACGACTATTAGAACGTGGTATTCATCCAATTCGTGTTGCAGAAGGCTATGAGATTGCTTCAAAGATTGCTGTTGATCATTTGCAACAAATCTCACACAAGTTTGAGTTCAATCCTACAAATATAGAACCCCTTGTTCAAACTTGCATGACTACCTTATCCTCCAAGATGTAAGCTTTTCTCAATTTTTCTTTCCAATCTTTTAAAAGATTACATGTTTTTATTTTTTAAAATATCTGATTCAATTTAATCTTTCAGTGTGAACCGTTGCAAAAGAAGTTTGGCTGAGATTGCTGTGAAGGCAGTAATGGCAGTTGCTGATTTAGAGAGGAAGGATGTTAACTTAGATCTGATTAAAATTGAGGGAAAAGTTGGTGGGAAATTGGAGGATACAGAGCTTATTTATGGGATTCTTGTTGACAAAGATATGAGTCACCCTCAAATGCCAAAGCATATTCAGGATGCTAAAATTGCCATTTTGACTTGCCCCTTTGAGCCTCCAAAGCCAAAGACTAAGCATAAGGTTGATATTGATACAGTTGAAAAGTTTCAAACTTTACGTGAGCAAGAAAGGAAATACTTTGATGACATGGTTCAACAATGCAAGGTATGGTGACACCTCATTCTACTTTTTATTCTTTGTAATCTCATGCCACAAAGTATATATATTTTTTCTACAGGATGTTGGGGCTACATTGGTAATTTGCCAATGGGGTTTTGACGATGAAGCAAATCACTTATTAATGCACAGAAACTTGCCTGCTGTGAGATGGGTTGGTGGTGTTGAGTTAGAGCTTATAGCAATAGCCACTGGTTTGTGTCTACTAATTATCTCATAACAACTGATTATTGTCTATTTTACCCTTTTGATAGGATTTCGGTGTTTATTCTTTATTTTCAACAGGTGGAAGAATTGTCCCTAGGTTTCAGGAATTAACAGCAGAAAAGCTAGGCAAGGTATAATTTCCCATTTACTATTTTCTTTGGTTGTAATCCTGGAAAAAAAATAATAAATGATTTTTTTATTAAATTTATTGACAGGCTGGTTTGGTTAGAGAGAAATCATTTGGCACCACAAAAGATCGGATGCTATATATTGAGCATTGTGCTAATTCAAAGGCTGTAACCATATTTATTCGTGGGGGTAAGTTAACATGTATTTACATTGGTTATGTTTAACCTTCAAAGCTTTATCATTTTTTTTATCTGATAAAATGTTGTTGGATAGATAATCATAATTTTGTGATAAAATTAGGTAACAAGATGATGATAGAGGAGACAAAACGCAGCATTCATGATGCATTATGTGTTGCAAGAAATCTCATCCGCAATAACTCTATTGTATATGGTGGTGGGGCACCAGAAATTTCATGCTCAATTGCAGTTGAAGCAGCTGCTGATAAATATCCAGGAGTTGAGCAGGTATATAAATATATAAATATTTGATTTTTTTTTTTAAATTTTTAAATAGTTTCAATAAACGGAGTTTTTAATTGTAATTATGTTGTTGCCATTGCCAGTATGCTGTGAGGGCTTTTGCAGATGCTTTGGATTCTGTTCCCATGGCTCTTGCAGAGAACAGCGGTCTGCAACCCATTGAGACACTATCTGCAGTCAAATCTCAGCAAATAAAGGTAAATTTTTTTTTTTGACTGAACTGGACAAACCATTTCTTAATGGGGAGGGCATTTATGTCTTTTGCGTTATATAACATGATTTAAAATTATATCTGGTAGGAGAAGAATGCGTGTTGTGGGATAGATTGCAATGATGCTGGTACAAATGACATGCGTGAGCAAAATGTATTCGAAACCCTAATTGGAAAGCAACAACAGCTGTTGCTTGCGACACAAGTTGTGAAGATGATTTTGAAAATTGATGATGTCATCTCCCCCTCTGAGTATTGATTTGATTTCCAGGTATTTGACCCTTTTACCCTTTTTTTTCAAAGTCCTCATTTTTGTGTTGTCGTAGAAAACTAGAAGTATGGTATGGTGTGAATTGAACTTGTTTGTATTGTTAATCCTTAAAACCATTAAACAATGCATTATTATTATTATTATTTTTTTTTATCTGTATTTGATATTTATAATCAGTACCAGTCCAAATATATTTTGGGTTCATGGCAAAAACAAAAAAAAATGGCCTCTTAAATGACCTTTTTTTTCCTTGTATTCAAAGAAATGACTTAGATTGTTTTATATATAAATGCAAAAACTAAAACTTTATGTAGATAAAACTCAGCTTACGTTGTTTTGGGAAATCGTTAGTTAGTATCTCATATTCTCATTGGTTGAATTTTGAAACAAGGAGTTTTTGTTTCATATTTTTTAATTTGTTTTCTATATAGGGACCAAACCTGCCAACATATAAAAGTCTTAGTGGCCAAAATACTAAACCTAAAGAGTTTAATATTCCTAAGCATTAGCTTTTTATTATACATAATAATATAATGTTTGATTTTCCTTTTGTCATTTATAATAGACAACATGCATAAATGGTCCCTATAGTTTCCAAAAAGTCTCAAGTTCAGGACAACCTTGTGTTTCATTATACTGTTTGTCTATATTTATGGTTTCAAACCTTTGCACGTTTTTTGTGTCTAACTCTGTTAGAAATCTATGAGCGAAATGACCAAAATACCCCTTGATTTGTCTTTTCTTATATCTTATCAATTAGTGAACTACATGGCCCAAATATACGAATTAAAAGAAAACTACATGAGAACCCCCAACCCATACTCTTGGCCTCCATAACATTTTATACTCTTGGCCTCCATAACATTTTGCTCACAATCTCCTTTAAAAGATAAATTGCAAAAATGGTCCTGTTGTTGGCAAAATTCAGTTTTGGTCCCAAACAAAATATTGGTGCACCATTGGTCTAATTTTTGATACTTTGTATGGTTTTGGCCTCTGTGGTTGTATTTTCTTGTGTTTTTGGTCCACATCCCACCTAAAATGACTAATATGCCCTTTAAATAATTATATTTTAATTTCTTTTATTTATTTTCTTATTCTTATAATAAAATGAAAAACAAAAACAAAAAAAATCCATCACACACACACACACACTCCCTCTCTCTCTCTCTCTCTCTCTCTCATGTTATCTTTCCAGTTGGAACCATTAGCACCAAAAACAAATTCAAACCCGCATCGCAACCACCAAATTTTCTGCTTGAACCTTTGGCTTCATCGGTGTATACTTTGTCGGAGCAAGCTTTTCCGATGGAGATTTTTCCATTGTCTGCATCTTCATCTTCTATACCTTCAAGATGGTTGTCATCCCAAACCTCCATCTTTGCTCATTTCCTTCTCCACTTGCATCGACCTCCACCTAGATCAATGGAGTTGTTGATGGCTGAGTCGATTCACATTAAATCTGAAAATTGAAGTCCACATCGAAATTTCCACAAAAATCGAATCTGAAAATCGTTTTCGATTTGATTTCTGGAGCCAAAATCAAAAGTGGGTAGTGGAGTGAGAGGAAAGAGAGTGATGAGGTTCATAAATTTCGCAGGAAGTAGCTTGTAGTGGCGGAGGATGCGGTGGTGACTGGAGACTTCATTGAAATCATTGGAATGGATAATGCTCTTGTGGCTTGTCTGTTACATAAATTAAGGAAGAAAACATTAAAGATTAATCCTTGAATCACTTGCTTATCGTTGGAGATGGAGCTAGATGGAGCTGGACGTTTGATTTGATTTCATCAATGATTTCTGAGGTTAATTTCTGGGTTCTGAGCATGATGTTTGGTTTTAATTTGTGGGTTTGAGCACCCCTTGCATTCGTGGCTTTAGATATAGGAGGGAAGCTGGTGGTGTTGGTTTCCAGCTTGTTGTCAGTGGTTTTCGGTGTGGGTGTTCTTGAGAGGGTGAGCATGTGCTATTGAGATTGTATGTTAGTGTGTGTTTTGAAAAAGATAGAAAAAAGTGAAGCTGAGTGGTTTCAGGTGGAGAGAGATGAGAGGGTAGTGGTCGTGAATCGGGTAACTCCGGTGAGAATCGAAGCCGCCGGCGGAGGTTATAGACATCGGTGATGGAGGGAGGTGGTGAAAAATTTGGATTCTCTCGTCCTTGGTACTGTGAGAGGGTGGATTGGGTTTTTATTTTTATTTTTTTGTTTTAATTGGATATAAATGAAATTAATTTTATTAAAGCATTTCAGAAATTAAAGAAAATGGAAAATATAAATTAAAAGGACATAAAAGTAATTTCAAGTGTAAAGGGACTAAAATCATTTAAAAAAATCTAATTTTGGATCAGGGTTACACCAACATTTTATTTTGGACTAAAAACACACATTTTATTTTGGACTAAAAACACATAAATTTACGAACACCAGAATATTTTTGCAATTTTGTCCTTTTAAAAATTTCACTTTACCCATTTTCCACCCTCATAGATCCCACCCAGCACTCACTACTCAGTAGTGTGTGTTTTAAGTGATTGTATTGGGCTTGCATCCAATTTCCTCCATACTTGAAAGCATCTTGATTCCATCGTCAAATTTATTCTTGAGATTTTTCAAAAGTCAACATGGACCATTTATGTAAATTTGTCTTGATCTTGTTTCCAAAAACCTATAAGGGAATTTACATATTTTTAAAAAAATTATATAAAAAAATACTTAAAACATATTAGATGATTATGACAAATGTTTGGGTCGTTGTTCATGTTGCATTCATCTTGGGCCAACTTTGTTTCTAATATAGATACGCCTCAAATTTGTTTTTATTTTTTATGCCATTTTATCATTGTTATTAATATTTATTTATTTATTTTTAACACGAGTTCAGTTCTAGCATTTTATTATCCGATCGAATAACACCTCTACGTAAAATTATATAAAATTATTTTTTTGTAGGGGTTTTAGGCGTACTAAAAATTTTAGTGACCAAAATAGAACACAAAATGTTGACATAATCGGTAAACTTGTATAGCATGTTAACATGGACGAAAAAATGTTTTCTACTTAATTTTGGACAACGTGCATAGATTTTTTCCCATTAAAATTGTGGTTGATCTTTTTTTTTTTTTTTTTTTTTTTTCGGTTTAGTTTGTTTATTTTTAAACAACCCTTTCGTGCGCTAAAGGACGTAAACAGGGAAAAAATGCCATATAAAAATATTATAGATCAGCCAAACTGTTAATTTTATTTTTGGTTATTTACGGGTTTTTGGTATATTAATAAATGAGTTGGACATTGATCTAAATAAGAATAAAAACTTATAAATTGATCAAGAAAAAATCTACTAAAGTAACCTCTTTTAAATGGACTTAATAAGTGAGCATTGTAGGGCAGCTATGGTCGTTTAGCTTTCATGTGCCATGGTAAGCATGTCTGAAGGGTTATCTCAAATCAACTGGTGGATGATAATTGATATGTGTTTGGACATGTGCTTTGTGGGAGCTGCCCCCCAATAATTCTGCTCTTGATACCTTTGCTTTCTCCATCCCATGTCCCCATATTAGTGGATTTCTAAAAGTGTCAAAATAGATTGATCCAATAACAAGTTAAATATAGTTTTTATAATAAAACGATTTTTTAGAATAATATATGATTATGAAAACATATAATATAATTTTCTAATAAAACGGTTGAAGAGGTATAAATGTTATATACACTACCTAAATGTGTATTTTTGGCTTTAGCCTATGTTTTGCTGAATTTTTCTATTATTGGAAACTTTGAATGAATTTCTGGCTTTTATGTTTGATTATGCTTATACCAAATATCTGTTGTGTAGTTACTCAGGGGTGATAGATAAGCACTGGAACTAACGGACGAAACTAAAAATTCAAAACAAAAGGGCATGGCAAATATAATTTAATTAGGTGTGTGACCCGTGTATTACACGAGTTTATTAAAAGGTCCAGAAGTAAAAGGTGTGAGAAAAAAAAAAGACAATTCATGTAAGTTTTCGTAACCACAAGGACTATGTTCATAATAAAATAAGTAACAACTGAGTTTGTGATCTTTGGTAAATTACATGGGCCATTTATGTAATTTAATTTTAATTAATCTATACTAATAAACTTATTTAATATGAATTCACAAATGAAAGATATTATCTACATTAGTTAATTATACATTAATTAATATATTAATAGAAAGAGGAATTCACAAATAGAAAGTTATTATGTACATTAATTAATATATTAATAAAATTAATAAAATTAATTAGTATGAGATGACATTTAATAGGTGGAATTTGACTAAAAATAAAAAAATCTATAAAAATAACAAGTGGATATTAAATAATTCATAAAATCTATAAAATGACAAGTATCAAAATAAATGAGAAGATGATATGTGTCAAAATCATTCTTATTTATTAGGGTAAATATGAAATATTTTTACATCGGTCATTAGATTGATTCCCCCCCCCCCCCCCCTTAAACTAACAATTAATAAAATAAAAGTAACAATTAACAAATATATTTTTGCAAATGACCAACAACTAGTTATTTTGTTAACAAATACAACCTAAAATAAAAAATACAAACTAAAAGAACACAACGAAAATACAATCTAACAAGGATAAATCGCAATAAAGTCACTAAGTTAACTAAAAATTTCGATTTTGACATCATATATTTTTTTTCTCTCAATTAAGTCACTATTTTTACAATTTTATTGGAATATCAATCAAATGACTGGTTCTTCATATTCTCTTGATAACTATTTTTTTCCTCAAATTGCAATAAAATCACTAAATTTACCAAAATATTCATTTTGACACCGTGATTGTTTTTCTCAATTATGTTATTACATTTACAATTTTATTCCAATGTCAGCAATTAACCAGTTACCATCAATAGGTTACCAAAAAAATAACATGACAATATTGTGATTTGGAAACCATGTCGGATCATATGTGAGGTCTTAGTTTTAAATTATGGGTTTGCATCGAACCTAATTTCACATATCTTCTTCTCCATTTCTTTTCAGATTATTTCTTCACAAATGGCATCTGAAAGTCGGTCCAATGGTTAAAACTCACTTACAAGTCAGTGAAAATGGTGCAGTTACCCTTTCAGGAGATGCTATTGTGGTTTAGAACTTCAATTTGGACTACAAGTAAATGAAGACCCCTACAA